TCCTGAGGTTCATCTGCCGGGGCCAAGCACGCTTGGACGGTGGCAGCGAGGTCCTCAGGACGTAGATGGATTGCCTTACAGGGCTAACGAGCTCCATCTGCCCGGGGAGTGTCCTAACCGGGAATCGAACCCAGATCTCAGCGTTGACAACGCTGTGGTTTAGCCACTGCACCACCAGGGACACTCTATCTGGCAGTAATAATGTGCTTCAGAAAGCCATTGCCACTTTAAATATGTATCAGCTCACAGAAGCGAAAGGAATTGCTAAACATGTTATTTACAGTAAATGTATATGCAGTAAGAAAACCTCAGTGGCAAGTAAAACCTCTGTCCTAGGATCCAGAAGAGTGGACACTGAGGAACTGAACTGTTTGAAATAAAGCAAGGAGGAAAATTTTGTACAGTCCAACTTTATGAACATATTTTGTAATAGGATGCAAAGGAGTGACTGGTGAAAAAAAAAACCAAACAGAAGAAGAATAAACCTCTCTTACACACTTTTCATGGTGTTAATAACCACAATGGGCAAGCAAGTACATCTCTGAAGGAGGGAGTCACTCAGTACTTGTTAGAGAGAGAAAACCAAGCACAGAGAAAATGACATTTTCAGCTCAGCTGAGTTCTACATTTCATGAAGAAAAAAATGCATTTTTCTAAGCAATAATTTTATGAACATGAAAAACGTAACACAGCAGTATTTTTTCTATGCATCTGCTACACAGTAAACGCATACATACGAGAAATAACATTATTTTTTACAGTTAAGAGCAAATGAACCATTATGTTACTTGAGGTAGAATATGAAAGTGAACTCATATATTCACAGATTAGGTGGAGAGATACTACAGCTCAGGCTAAAAAAAAAAACAAAGAGAAAACACCTGGTTTAATTGCAAAATCTTCACTGAACTTATCTTCACAATAATTAAGATAGCATTTGTGTAAATTTTCAATAGCAGGAAAGTAATAGTATTTAGAGCCTAGCATTTCATCACTTGTCACTAGATAGAATCACAAGGGAAGATCTGAACTTCAGAACACTCTCACTGTGCATAACTTTGCTATGGAAGAAATTTCTTCTTTCCCTTGCTGCTCAGCAATTTGTGACATGAAACATTAGGTCTGACCTTCACCTATAATTATGTCTCATCTTAAATGCAAAGGATATATTTAATAGATACTATGTTTATGCATATATGTCACTCCATGTTTCTGCTGCTGAGAAGTGTATGTAACATGATTTTTGTATTTATGAAGATGGACCTATCCATTTGTACAGTGTATCGAAACAAAAATGCTTATAATTCCACTAGACACTACTTTTTAAGACTCTGACAATCTTCATGACATTACTCCCCTCAACCCAGTAACTGAAGTATTTTATTCACTATTTCTAAACAAACAGATATAGAACCAAACATTTTTGAGAGCTAAAATGACATGAATGCACCTGCCAGCCATATTTCCCATATAGTTACTGCACAGAGTAGATAGTTGTCCTTAAAATGCAGAATGTAATGAATCCTTTATTTTCTGGAATAGAAGGGCTAGGCAGACCACCAAAAAGTATGATTTAGCTGGACAGAATACCTCATAATCTGGATATGGGTACACAGGACTGGTTCTACCTAGTCTTGCCAATACATAATAGCAATTTTTGAAGGTGATATTAAAGGGAATAGTAGCTGGAATAATGATGTTTAAAAAGTTTAACAACCTGAAAACACAAAAGGCACATAATCTGTAGGGATGTAAATTCTTATTCTTATTTTCTGTCAACTCCTAACATCCTACATGGCACTAAACTTACATGGCAGTGAGTGCAAAATGTGTTTCTTCATCTCTCTCCTCTGCATCTGTCAGTGACTGGTGTTGGTAAAGGACCATTTTCTAACTATGATGGTGATCCTTACATCAGTCCACTACTTACTTTTTATTCATTTCTATACATTTTGGCAAAGACAGAAAACTTGAAGTCTTTCCAAGTCTACAAGTTACAAAGAAAAAGAAAAGCTCTGAAGTGGTGCCTTACCTTTGCATTGTAAACCTTGTCTCAAAAGACCCCAGAGCAATGAACCACAGTGGTCACAGAAGGTGGGCACTTTGTAATTGTGAATGCTGAACTTGTGAGGCATGTTGACACTGAAACGCTGGGATCCCACTTGCTGAGAAAGGAGAGCACAGCATATTTAATTCTCATTAATTTCTTTGCAATCATTGTATGCCAAGGCCCTATTATGTTTTGAAACCACACAAAATTCGAACAAAACCAAATAGGCCTGTGCTCAGATGATGACCACTGCATTAAATATACTCCAACTCCAAAGCTGTTCTCACTACTTTAGAGGGGGAAGGGCTGCTGTTGTCCAAGAGATAAAGAGTCTACTTCCTAGTACTTCTGGGAACAACAAATACACAGCTATCAGGAAAGATCTCTTAATGTGGAAAGCAAGGAAGTCACTCCCAATTGTTTTAGGAGCAGGAGGCTGAACTTCAACAGGACTAAGAAAGAGATATATGTCATGAACCCTTTACCTTTTCATATCCTACTCTTTAGATTATGATAATGACAATGATAGATTGTTGTGTTCAGGGACTCCAAGGTATGATTACTTACTAATTAAAGGATGTCATTGATAAGTTTTAATAGTGACCATTGCGTAGCAGGAGATTTATTTTTATGTTTTTCCTTCCCTTTCCTATTACCGCTGGCTTTTCTCCAGTGATCTAGTACCCCTTTTAAACAATGAGAGCATTATATCAGCAAAGTATGCAAGTCTCCACCAGTCTGGAGCCTGGGAATATAAACCTAAGTAACGTTTTGTATCTTCCCATGAGTACTAAGCAAAACCATCACTAGCCAAACACAGTCCTTTATCACAATCACATGCACATGATCACATTTCAGATGTAAAATACTGGTTGTGAACCAGATATTAAAGAATGCTTCCAGGAAGGAAAATGGTAGTGAATTGCACAGGAAGAATGAGATCAGTTAGTGCCTCACTCAAACTTATATCAAAGTTGAAAGAAAGGATTAAAACTGCTCTGTTGCATACAACTGATTTCATGTGAATGTAGGTTCTTAATAAAAAAAATTAAGAAATGTACTTCTTCTGTGTAGCCAAGAAATTGTGATCACCCAAAGACTACCTCCCCCAATCCGATGGTGAAAGACAGCAGGTCCTTGATGGTGCACAAAACAGAACAGGACAGTGAGCACTCATTTGCTTTTCTGTTGAAACACAAACGAAAAGCTTCTGTGTAAGATAAAGCATTCACTGTTTACAGTTGAGTGCTAAAACTACCTAAAAACCCTGTAACTACACTTCTCCACCTGCACCCTATCAACCCAGACTCCCCAAAGCTGAGGAGTCTAAGGGAGCTGAACAGTACAGCAGTCACATTGCTCCCTGGTGTATCGCTGTCCACAGAAAATAACACTGATTTCCTAACCTAGCTTAGAAGGGCCATCTTAGCTGAGAGAGAGCTTTAATTCAAATGTAATTCCTTTGAGAATGATTCCTTTGTTTTATCCTCTGATCCAAAGCTGAATGTGCTGTTGGCAGATCATGGAAGCATAGAATTGTTAAGGTTGGAAAAGACCTTTAAGATCAACAAGTCCAACCGTCAACCTAGTACCATCACTATGTTTACCAGTAAATCATGTCCTCAAGTGCCATATCTACAGGTTTTCTGAAGGCTTCCAGGGATAGTGACTCCACCACTTCCCTGGGCAGTCTGTTCAAATGCTTCAAAACCCTTTCCATTAAGAAACTGATCTAATTTATCTAATCTAAACCTCCCCTGGTGCAACTTAAGGCAATATTTCCTCTTGTCCTGTCATTTGTTACCTGGGAAAAGAGACTGACACTCCTTTCAGGTAGTTGCAGATATATTAACCTCCCTGACAGTACAGTTCTGAAGGCAACTGATTTAATTTTCAGGTGATGTCTTCATTTATTTAAATGCATGATAACATAAAGCAAACTGTGCCAATTCCATTAATAAAAAAAAAAAAACTTGCTTGAGATGCGAACTATGCCGGAAAACCTGTCAGCTACGACGTATCTCGTGTTATCACTACTCCCTTATGTAACATTCACAGGCCTTCTTCAACACATGGATGGTTTTTGCTCAACATTTTGACAGCTTGGATGCAGCCTTTGTTGAGATAAAACTTTGCAGGCAAATTCTGGGCAGTTTTTTACAATGATGCAACATACACAAGCACGGTGCCTGTCCTATCAGCTGTTAATGACTCAGCCACACCAAATGCAGCTAAGAGAGTAAAGGATCCCAGCTTGCTTCTTTCAAATTAAAACAAGAAAAACTTATTTAAACTCAGAAATGGAGCATGTTAAAAATGAAAAGGACTGGAAAGAGCTCTCTGAGACTTCAAGCATTCAGATGTTATAGAAAGTATACTAATTAGCAATAAATTGCTGTATGGTAATTCCCACGTATATGAAACTGGGCTAGCAATCTGGCATTCCAAAGCCAATGCTACACCACAAGATGACCAGAAAGGCACAAAAAAAGACTGTACCATTTATTGATTAAACAGAGGAGATGACACTACTTCGAACAGATGAAAGACAGAGTTTTATCTAGAAAAATTATTTTATAAACATTTACCTCATCATGAGTTTCCTGTTTTTTTAAGCCAGCACACTTTGTTATTATAAGTTCATGGCATCTCTTGTGGACTACACAAGTGCAAACTAGAAAGAAAAAAAAAAAACAGATAAAAGAATGAGACTTTCATGAAAATTAATTTGAA